AACAAATTCACAGTACACCTCAGTGAGGTGTACCCACAACAAATTAATTGTACACCTCAGTGAATTGTACCCACACCAAATTCACAGTACACCTCAGTGAGTTGTACCCAAAACAAATTCACAGTACACCTTAGTGAGTTGTACCCACACCAAATTCACAGTACACCTCAGTGAATGGTACCCACAACAAATTCAAAGTACACGTCAGTAGATTGTACCCACAACAAATTCACAGTACACCACATTAGATTGTACCCACAACAAATTCACAGTACATCTCAGTGAGTTGTACCCACAACAAATTCACAGTACACCTCAGTGAGTTGTACCCAAAACAAATTCACAGTACACCTCAGTGAGTTGTACCCACAACAAATTCACAGTACACCTCAGTGAGTTGTACCCACAACAAATTCATTGTACACCTCAGTGAGGTGTACCCACAACAAATTCACAGTACACCTCAGTGAGTTGTACCCACGACAAAGCGGATTGTACCCACGACAAAGCAGATTGTACCCACGACAAAGCAGATTGTACCCACAACAAAGCGGATAGTCCCCACGACAAAGCAGATTGTACCCACAACAAAGCGGATAGTACCCACGACAAAGCAGATTGTACCCACAACAAAGCAGATTGTACCCACGACAAAGCAGATTGTACCCACAACAAAGCGGATAGGACCCACGACAAAGCAGATTGTACCCACAACAAAGCGGATAGTCCCCACGACAAAGCAGATTGTACCCACAACAAAGCGGATAGTCCCCACGACAAAGCAGATTGTACCCACAACAAAGCAGATTGTACACACGACAAAGCAGATTGTACCCATGACATAGCAGATTGTACCCACGACAAAGCAGATTGTACCCATGACATAGCAGATTGTACCCACGACAAAGCAGATTGTACCCACGACAAAGCGGATTGTACCCACTACAAAGCAGATTGTACCCACGACAAAGCAGATTGTAACCACGCCAAAGAAGATTGTCCCCACGACAAAGCAGATTGTACCCACGACAAAGCAGATTGTACCCACAACAAAGCGGATAGTCCCCACGACAAAGCAGATTGTACCCACAACAAAGCAGATTGTACCCACGACAAAGCAGATTGTACCCATGACATAGCAGATTGTACCCACGACAAAGCAGATTGTACCCACGACATAGCAGATTGTACCCACAACAAAGCGGATAGTACCCACGACAAAGCAGATTGTACCCACAACAAAGCAGATTGTACCCACGACATAGCAGATTGTACCCACGACAAAGTGGATAGTACCCTCCATAAAGTGGATTGTACTCGTGACAAAATCACAGCACTCCTCAGCAGATTATATTTCCAAATCACCAATGTTTCACGTATCGCTTACACAATTGGACTAACTTTCTGTTTAGTGGTTCAGCAAATCTTACCAAACAAGTTTTTATGTACAAGACATTTAACTAATAACTTTAATTGCTTACACTGGCATCAAGGTTGCATCTGCTTGCCATCTTACATTATCTATATTCAGAAATACATTTGTATGCCCAACGCTTTATTTCATGTCTCATTTTCCAAATAAACTTCAATTAAGCAGATGTAAACCTATATTTAATGTTGCCTCCGTGGAATTTAAGTTTCAGTTATTTTCAGTTATTGATAATGGTAATGATGATTGATAATTACGCTTGACTCAGTAGATTTTCATCAATTAACATTATGTTCTCAGTGGTGCCAGTCTGTGCAATCTAAGCAAGGTAAGTCATCAGACTCTCCGTTGATTCTATGTATTGACTCTGAGCTGATTCAATATAGAATCTGTCACAGACTGTCAATGGACTCTGACTCATGGAAGAGCCCATCAGGGAACTCACTCATCACATCAAAGGCAGGTATGAGACTCTAAATGGAGTCTAATTGACTCAAGAAAGAGTCAATCAGGGAACTCACTCATCACATCAAAGGCAGGTATGAGACTCTAAATGGAGTCTAATTGACTCAAGAAAGAGTCAATCAGGGAACTCACTCATCACATCAAAGGCAGGTATGAGACTCTAAATGGAGTCTAATTGACTCAAGAAAGAGTCAATCAGGAAACTCACTCATCACATCAAAGGCAGGTATGAGACTCTCAATGGAGTCTAATTGACTCAAGAAAGAGCCAATCAGGGAACTCACTCATCACATCAAAGGCAGGTATGAGACTCTCAATGGAGTCTAATTGACTCAAGAAAGAGCCAATCAGGGAACTCACTCATCACATCAAAGGCAGGTATGAGACTCTCAATGGAGTCTAATTGACTCAAGAAAGAGTCAATCAGGGAACTCACTCATCACATCAAAGGCAGGTATGAGACTCTCAATGGAGTCTAATTGACTCAAGAAAGAGCCAATCAGGGAACTCACTCATCACATCAAAGGCAGGTATGAGACTCTC